CATCCAAGCGGCACTTGTCATGATATATATATATATATTTTGGAAATACCTTTTATGTCTTGAAATGTCATCGCGCCAGATTTGGTTGCATTTGAATGAAAAATCTATCCAGACAACGTTGAATAAAGATATTAATACTTTGTAAAGGAAAACGTTCAGAGAAATTATGACACTAAACAGGAGTACCCTGTAAGTTTAGATCAACGGAAATTAAATCCATCTATCTTCATTCTTTTACAAGGAAATAATTGTGCTGAGTAAGGAGAGTCGAACTCAAGTTATTTTGATGTTGTGTACTCACAGTCAATACGATGTCGTGAAAAATTAGCAGTTTACATTCACATTTTCAATCACACACAACAATCTTAACGCTGCCTGTTAAACTCTTCGGCGACTTTATGCTGATTGTATGAAGATCGCCACCATCAAAATAACTTGAATTCGTTTCTACATACTTAGCGCCGTGCTTTACCTGTAAAAGCATACGCAAATATCAACATAACGCCTTTAGTTACACACTTAACACCTTGTCCAGTATATTACTGAAGTATGTAAAGTGGATATCATTAACTGTGTTTTTTTTTTAATTTAGTTTTTCATAGTACGATGTTTTCACTTAAGCATCTCTCCAGAGAAAAACAATTCTTTATAGTATTTGTTATGTTAGGTCGTTGACTGCAAATGACACATATATACAAGATATTACGTTGTCATTACATGCACCCACTTCTCTGATATCTGCAAACATACCGCACAGCGATTTGAGTAGAGGTTCATTACGACGTAGAATTTACATAATTCCATGCCCACCAGGTTCTCCACACTTGATTACTCTGGATATTTTTTTGTGGGTCAGCTAAAAGAATTGTTACATTCCTAACCATCATGGTTACTATCGATGGCGACCGGATGCATAAGAAAGAATTATGATACAGCTATACCAGAAATATTATGTTTGATTCTTAACGATGTTCTCTAACAAAAAAGTCCATTTGTTGTATTAATTAGTGCAATGTTGCTTTTATGACACTCATAGATTATTTATATATTATGTCAAATCGTCTTAAATTAATTCCATTCGATTGTTTTTGAGATCATACAACAGAGCCATAGATACAAAAGCTGTTAGTTGGCTAACCTCCCTTATCTTGCTCAGCAGTGTCTCTATGCAGTACATAATATAGGGGAGATCGGGGCAACTTCGGCATGCGGGGCAAGTTTGTCAAACGCTTTTTTTAAAAAACAAATTAAAAGGAGACTTTGGTTATAGGTTAGGCAGTTGAGTTTTATTGGTGGCTTGTTGAGTGTAGTGTTTTTATTGTTCTCCAACAAGCGTAGTTGAATTATCAAGCAAATTTTCATTTTCGTTCAATTCCATATAATATTTTTTTTCCATTTATATTGAATTGGCAGGTTTTGTTATAATTCCATGATAACGAAAGTTACTTTTCCTGTTAGAAGGATGTAACTTCAACTTATTCACGTGGCCAGATCGTGGCTTGGCATTCTGTTCTCAGGGTTGTACTTAATGTTTCGAAATCATGACTAGCGGGGTAAGATCGGCAACATAAAGCCACATTAGAAGCAAAGGATAAAAATCAAACAGATGATAAATGAAAACATGTTTGCATTTGTTATTCATGTATATATGTCTTTGAACTTGCATTTCGTTGTAATAATATTAAATGGGTGTTGGATTTGTATTTCTTTGTTTTAATAGTGAATTCCAACTTATACATTGTTAATAACATAATTTTATATACGTGCCTATCTTGCCCCATTACTGTTGCCCCTATACCAGGGGCAACTTTAATAAAAATAATTAAAATAATTACAACTTTACAAAAAGAGAGAAGTTGCCGATCTTGCCCCTATACCCGGGGCAACTTCGTCAATTTCTCTCTTCTTGTAAAGTTGTAATTATTTTAATTATTTTTATTTCCAAACTGATTTTAACCAGTTCTATAGTAAGGTAACATTCCAATAGACAATATGCAAAGCTTTTTTTTTCAGTTTACAGCAGTATTTATTACACAAAATTTAAGTAAAGCTTAACATGCCGATCTTGCCCCGATCTCCCCTATGCTTTTGTTTCTAGCACGATAGATAGAAAATGAAAAAAGTAGCAGTCTCTCAATGATTTACTCTTGCCTACTGGAATGTGGAACAAGGAAGAATATGTGCTCGATACAAGAAAGATCTCTTTTGTCCAGATGTTCGAGTGAGTAAATGTTCAAGTGACGATCTGAATATACATTAAAAATAATACAAATTTCACATTTTCGTATATTTTACAGTGTAATTTTAATTGCATAGTTTTTAACAGTAGTACTATTTACCTGAATCTTAAAATGTTCTTCGCGTAATTCAAAATCAGTTTCATATTTTTTATAAAAGTCTCTTTTTTCATCCGGAGATAATTCTTGCGCACATTTCATAATTGCTGCTTTTACAGTTTTCTGAAATGAAAAACGTGTACATGAAATATGCATGTGAGCATTAATGTGTTCTCGTATTAGTTTATTTTTGTACTGAATGGCATTAAATAAAGTTATAGTTTTCCACTTTCTTCCCATTTTTAACTTTTTCTGTCCAGTGGGCACTTACAGGGTCTTTCTATTTAGGGATGAGAATAGATGTATTCAGGACTAATTACCTACGAAAATCTCACGAAGAATTGTTTGCCCAAATTTCATCTTAGATCCCCACAACACTTTGATCGCCTTGGCCATCCAAGTGGCACTTATCATGATTATTGATAATCATAACGTGTGCCTCTTAGATCAGAGTGATAGGATACGGCATGGCAGTACGAGGGTAATCTACCGAGAGTGGATATGCCTCCATAGAAGGTATTTTCTGTCAAAACTTGTCACTATTTAGGCGTTAGATACGGGAAGAAAACCCCGAAAACTATATGAGCTGTAGTTAGTTTTTAAAATACCTTATCAGGCTTTTCAGCAACGGACCAATGAGAAACCGTCTGATATATTTTAGAATTTTGAAAGCGTCTCTCTACTATATCCAGTATATTTCGAACTTTCTCTATTTTTGAGTATTTCAGAGAATCGTAAACAGCGCTGTCAGTCATCATGCAGAAGTTTCTCATTATCAACGCAATATATTCTTCCTCTCTGTTCACTGCATTAGTCCAATTGTAGAACTGGAAATTTTTACTACAGTGGAAATAGATTAAGAATATAAAATAATTATTATTTCAAAACACAAATAAATAAAAGCATCTTACCCGTTAGGCGCTAAGACGTTTCCATCCGCTTCCAATAAAGGATCGAAAATACTGAAATATTATAAAATAGCTGTGTTATTTCGGTTATTCTACACAATTTATCAATATTAGAAAAAGCATACATTCTTTCTATTCTTCTGTTCATGCGATGTTGGTAAGCAGCGTGATGCAATTCACTTCTTGTTAGAAAATTCTTGTAAACAGCACTTAGGGGAGATCGGGGCAAGATCGGCATGTTAAGCTTTACTTAAATTTTGTGTAATAAATACTGCTGTAAACTGAAAAAAAAGCTTTGCATATTGTCTATTGGAATGTTACCTTACTATAGAACTGGTTAAAATCAGTTTGGAAATAAAAATAATTAAAATAATTACAACTTTACAAGAAGAGAGAAATTGACGAAGTTGCCCCGGGTATAGGGGCAAGATCGGCAACTTCTCTCTTTTTGTAAAGTTGTAATTATTTTAATTATTTTTATTAAAGTTGCCCCTGGTATAGGGGCAACAGTAATGGGGCAAGATAGGCACGTATATAAAATTATGTTATTAACAATGTATAAGTTGGAATTCACTATTAAAACAAAGAAATACAAATCCAACACCCATTTAATATTATTACAACGAAATGCAAGTTCAAAGACATATATACATGAATAACAAATGCAAACATGTTTTCATTTATCATCTGTTTGATTTTTATCCTTTGCTTCTAATGTGGCTTTATGTTGCCGATCTTACCCCGCTAGTCATGATTTCGAAACATTAAGTACAACCCTGAGAACAGAATGCCAAGCCACGATCTGGCCACGTGAATAAGTTGAAGTTACATCCTTCTAACAGGAAAAGTAACTTTCGTTATCATGGAATTATAACAAAACCTGCCAATTCAATATAAATGGAAAAAAAATATTATATGGAATTGAACGAAAATGAAAATTTGCTTGATAATTCAACTACGCTTGTTGGAGAACAATAAAAACACTACACTCAACAAGCCACCAATAAAACTCAACTGCCTAACCTATAACCAAAGTCTCCTTTTAATTTGTTTTTTAAAAAAAGCGCTTGACAAACTTGCCCCGCATGCCGAAGTTGCCCCGATCTCCCCTACAACCTTTAAGAAAATGCATGTTACGATATTTTCTTATTAAAATCTTTTTATATTTTTAATTATTATAAAATGTTTAATTTTAAAGGTAGGGTTAAGTTTTATAGAAAAAAAAATGTAAATTCTAATAAGGAGTTAAAGCCTACTCGAGATAGGATATACGACGCCCTTTATCTCTCCACCCCCTCGATCTTTAACCATAAAAATTTAAGAGCATCAACACTCCTTATATACAAATATTTCTTTAAAATTTCCGAAATTTCGATAAAAAGCAGAGGAGTTATTATTTTTTAAAACTCTTTTCACCCTGTGGGCACTAAGAGGGCCTCTTAAAGCAAACCCATTATGAGTTCGGCCAGACCCACAATGGGGCGACCGGGTGGTGAGGGACGGAGCCCGGCATATCCGAACGGATCACCCCCCGAAAAATTCCTGAGGGTTCTTTGACGCATCCGGATTCGACCCCGGGTCCCCCAGACGGTAGGCTGCCACCTTGACCGCTCTGCCATCCGGCTGTCGCACAGGAGTTATTAAAGTTCAAACAGGGTGTACAAAATCGTGCTCCAACACACACTAACATCCATACACACAGGAAAAAACTCCGAAAGTTTTTGTATTTCTTGAAGTTTCAATGTCTCCCGAGTCCAAAAAATGGAAATCTTGGTGGAGGACAACTTTTTGATATATTGCCTCGCTTTCCCTCTGTTATATATAACAACATATAGCAGCCGTGAAAGTAAAAATAAATTTTCCTGTTTACTCGTTTTTCTCTCTTTACGTAGATCTTTACATGGGCAGTGTCTGTCTTTGCTTCTCATCTTCCACTACTGGCACTAGGCCTCAGTGTTGGTCAATTCCCTCACCCAACCAGTAATTTTCCTTACTTTTTAAAAAATGTATTAAATAATAAATTTCTTACTTTGTCACGGAAACATATAACTTTTTTACCGTCGACATCATTTACTCTTGCAAATTGCATGAGGCGTTTGTATTCGAATCCGCATTTGATTCCGAGATACAGGCAGTCGCGAAAATAATAATCCCATTTATCGACGTCTAATCCCGATTCTTCGTTATTCACGATCTATAAATCATTAATGCTTAAGTCATTCGAAATAATACTAATTCTGTCTGTTGTACAGTAAATATCATTAGTACAACATACAATTTGATACCATGATGGATTATATCTTATTAACTCAAAATATCATTATAAATAATATATGAAATGTTATAAACCATTAAATATATTGTTCATAAACTACATTTACAATGAACGGTCCATTAACAAACACTCCCGAATAGCGGACACCTTTACTTAACAGGCATTTTTACAATGTGCAAACCCTACAAATAGGATATGTATTATGTTTACCAGTAAATAGTAGATAATATTCTCGGTTTTCGACGGTGTCTGCTATTCGAAAGGTATACTGTATTTATTAAAATCAATAATTAATATATAAATAAACAAATAGATTCTTACTTGAAAGAGAAATGTCCGCTCATCGCAGGTCTGTAAATGAAATATTAATTATGTAAATAGAGAATATTTTACAAAATCAGATGCAATAGAACATATATTCGCTTACAGGTTTTCCTTTCATAAGATCTCTGATGAAATTGATTTTCGTTTTGTCTATATTGTATCTTTGAAATTCCTCTTCCAATTTATATTTTCGTACAAGATAATCAAATATTTTAATGGATACTTCTTCGTGCTGCAATTAAAATGGATATAAATTCACNGTCCCGAATAGCGGACATCTTTACTTAACAGGCATTATTACAACCTGAAAACACTATAAATAGGACATGTATTATGTTTACCACTAAATAGTAGATAATATTCTCGGTTTTCGACGGTGTCTGCTATTCGAAAGGTATACTGTATTTATTAAAATCAATAATTAATATATAAATAAACAAACAGATTCTTACTTGAAAGAGAAATGTCCGCTCATCGCAGGTCTGTAAATGAAATATTAATTATGTAAATAGGGTATATTTTACAAAATCAGATGCAATAGAACATATATTCGCTTACAGGTTTTCCTTTCATAAGATCTCTGATGAAATTGATTTTCGTTTTGTCTATATTGTATCTTTGAAATTCCTCTTCCAATTTATATTTTCGTACAAGATAATCAAATATTTTAATGGATACTTCTTCGTGCTGCAATTAAAATGGATATAAATTCACAATTCACTTAAAAATTGCTGGATATTTAACGTGTTAACGTACTGTACATTCCACGGTTTGCTTTCGTCTTTACGTTTTTTTCTGCACTTCCTCATAAATCTTTCCCACGAATGAGAAAATGGACCGTGACCGAGATGGTGGCAAAGTCCCGCAATCTGTACGCAATTTATTTCTTGGTCCGTTATATTTAATTCCGGTTGGTTGTTTCTTAATTCCAGAATAAACTTCTTCGACAAATAAGCAACTCTAGAATTACACATAAATAATTAGGATACAAAATAATGCCGACCCACCAATGGGCACCAATATTTTCTGTTTTCTGTGGTTTCTCGAATATTAAAATGTTCATACCCTAAAGAGTGTTCGAAGCGATTATTGTTAGCTCCTGGATAAACAGTGTAGAGAAATCCCAACTGCTTGATGAGGCGAAGTCTTTGAAATTCTGGTGTGTCTATGATTTTCAGACATAAAGCATTGAAACTGATTTGTCCGTGAACAGGATCGCAAAATATGTAAAAAATAACAATAGTTTAATACAATAAATGTTATGTTATAACTTCTATCTTATTACCGATCAAATGATTATCTTTTGAGTATTTCCATTATCCTCGCAAATGTTATTGTTAATATCTTTAAAATATAAATAACAAAATTAGGATTACGCCGTTAGTTAAATCGGAAGATTAAACAGGGATACTTGTAGATTTTTAATATTAACTGTTATTAATTAAAATTTAATTGACAGCAAAAATGAATAGACACAAATGTCTTTGTTACAAAATGCAAAATGGTATTTGCATCAAGTCTACTTTATGTATTATAAAATCTTTAATAAACATTGCATTCAACACATTTAACCTGTATGTATTTTTTTCCGGATTACAAATATAATTATTGTTAAATTACTTCGACTAGTATTAAAATTTTAACATAACATTAAGAACGTATAAGAACTTTAAAAAATTGTTGATATCGTAAATGAAATGAGTCATGTTGTCATGATGATGTCAATAGTGATATCAAAAATGTGATGTGATGACGTAAGTAGCGTCATCGGTATGGCTTTTTACTGAAATTGAGGTTACTAAATGGGGGCGAAAAAGCATCAGCGTTTAGTGATAAAATAGGTGAAAATGAATTCGATCCTCGGAAACAACTCTAGAAATAGGAATCTAATGCATGCAAACAACATATGTAAGACGCAAGTTTACCGCCATTGGAAATTTTTCCATGCCCAAACTATTATGCGAAAAAAGACCTTTCGGTGTTCACAGGTGAAAAAGTATTTTTAAAATAGTAGAAGTGAAAACATAAGACTTTTAAAATTTATAAACATCTCAAATTCACTGGAAGACTAATTTATACTTTATCTAAATATTTCTTACTCTACTAAACTTGTTTTTAATAAATATCTAATAAAACTCAAACAATGATAACAATACGCCGAGCTTAAGGGTGCGACTATGCAGACGCGAGAGAGCGAATTTTCCGAGCGAGCGAGAATATGTGGCGAGAAGAGGCGAGACGCGATAAATATCAAAACCTGTCAGATATGTGCGAGAACCAGAAATTCGCTCTCGTCAGCGTTATTTTTCGCTTCTCGTTTGTGCATGGTTTTCTTTTGCGAAAACTTAATCGCTCGCAACCTCTCGCTCGCTGTAACTTCGCGTCTGCATAGTCGCACACTAAGGACGCGACTATGCAGACGCGAATTCACGGTCGTACGAAGAGCTTGCTCGAGAGCAAGCTCTACGTACGACCGTGAGAGAAGAAGGAGTCTTTGAGTTTTATGCCGCAATGTTTTAAAGTGTGTCCATGCCCTTTGTTAATTGTATAACTATAGGATAATTTGATTGGAAATTGCGGTCTTTTAAATTGGAATGGCAGTTCAGTAGAGATCAGTGGTATTCTGGGGATAAATACTGTGTGTCCTTTGTCCTTTCCAGCCATAAGTTCGGATTCGATGATGTTATTCGATAGCTGTTTGACGATCATCCTTGTTCCATTACATAGTTTCGTTGAGTTCTGAGTAGTATGATCGCAGATCCACTTTTCAGTCGAAGGCAGTGTAATGGCATTCCTGGTACTTGCAAACAGTTTAGAAATTCTGTAGGGAAGTTGAGACTTTCTTCAACGTTTACCGTCGTGTCGATCGATTTGTATATTCTCTCCTAACCTAGAATTTTCTTTTGAATCTTAAAGTTGATATCGTCGACAATATTATTATTAGTTGCCAAAATTGCCCTTTGAAATAGCCACTCCAGATTGGTATAGTTGTGAACAATGTTTGGATAAGTTTGGTCGATGAGTTCGTTTTCAGTAGTGGCTATGTTGCAAAAATCACTGTTGAGTTCAATGAGACCAGTCGTTTGGTCAGTGGGATATGTGCCTTCGCCTATTTGTAAAAGATTTTGAGCAAACTGTGCTGTTGTTTTGTTTTCGAGAGTTCAACTCTCATATTTTTCGTTAGTCGCAGTATTTGTATATGTGGCCAGAAATGTGACTTTTTAAAGCATGCATTGATCTCATCTGCTGGTGTTAAATTGGGAATAACTGGAAGTGTTTGTCGAAAATTTCGAACGTTCTAAACGTTTCTAATAACGGAATTTTCACTTGTTTTTCGGTTCTTCCCTTCGTCACTGATAAGAAACTGACGTTCGAACCCACGACGGATCTTGTTTTATATACCTCCACCAATGGGTAGTCCCACCCATACAAAAAAAGTCTTCGAATGGTCCACAATGTTCCAGAACATTCCACAACATTTCAGAGTGTCTTGGGATGTTACACAATGATCTGGGATGTTCCGAGATGTTCCCGAACGTTCCGGAACATCCGGGAACACTCGAATACTCTCGAATGTTCTGGACGGTTCTCTAGAACCGTCTCTAGAATCTGGACGGTTCTCTAGAACCGTCCAGATTCTAGACAGTATTCTAGAATTTCTAGAGAGCGAAACTTTGTAGCCCTTATATCTTCAACTGCACGCCCTTCAGATTAAAACGGGAACCTTCTTCATGGATGGGGGATACAGGGATACCACACCATATAACTCCCTTGATCGCACCGGGACTCGTTTTTCAATATTAGCGGCATGCACATTGTACACTTACCTTTATAATATATATTGACTAACATTAACGGATAATCATAGATACATATTTAATTATAAAGTCATTAAGAGAGAAATTATATATAAAAATTAGCATGCGAATTACTTGAACGAGAAACGGATGAATTATGGCTGTAATTTTCGATAATTCAGAAGGTTTTTTAACTACAAATGGAATTCTATCAATAGAAAAACATTGTGAAAAGTCCATATATTGAAGACTTTCAAAACTTTGTGCAATTGGTATTGCTAAATGAACAGTCTGAATAAGAAAAAAATAATTATAATTAATGTAAAAATTATCTTCAAATCATGCAAATAAAATTTCTCATACATTATTTTTCAGAAGGTTGTTTCTTTCAGCATTATCAGCTGTACTCAGTTCATAACTAAATTGAAATTTCGAATTAAATTATAATTAGTGAAATATATTTAAAATTCATTCATAATTAATATATAAAACTGTTTGTTTATTGACCAGTTTTACCTGAATCCGAGATATTCTTGAAGTTGAAGAATGAATCTTGACATGAAACCTGAATTTTCAAGTTTTCCAGTCGTTTCAGAATATATTAATGTTAATGAAATCTAATTTATATAAACACAATATTTTAATTGAAAGTGAAGTGCAGATTGGCGATGCTTTTCAATGCTCTCATAAGTATAGATGTAACTAATCACCAAACATATGCCGTAAATCCATCGGGCTGGTTTTAAGGCTAATTACTAAATAAATTACGTAATTAATTTGGCACTAGAGGTAAGCGTTAGGCGCCATCTCTTATTAATATTAATAATTATAAATAAATTAATTAATTTAGAACTGCTGGGAGAAAAAATCGGCCCGGAGCGGGACTCGAACCCACAACGCCTGCTTACCGTGCAGATGCGTTGCCAGTTACGCTATCCGGACCTCCGATCCGATCTCCTCTTCCAGCGTATAACTATGTAACCATCGACGGTTGTGGGTTCGAGTCCCGCTCCGGGCCGATTTTTTCTCCTAGCGGTTCTAAATTATTTAAATTAATTAATTTATTTATAATTATTAATATTAATAAGAGATGGCGCCTAACGCTTACCTCTAGTGCCAAATTAATTACGTAATTTATTTAGTAATTAGCCTTAAAACTAGCCCGATGGATTTACGGCATATGTTTGGTGATTAGCTATATTACATCGGGTTTAGCGATGTTTGAATATAGATGTAATTATATAATAATATTATAATAAAAATTTACGAAATTGTAAATATCGTAAATAAAGTTATAACGTTTAAGGGATAATTTCCTAATATAAGATGTAAAAATGAAGCAAGCAGTTGCGTAACTTTTCCGGCAACATTTGATGTTGTCATCTGTTGTGATATTTTATTTAGAAAATTTTATATTTTTATTTTTAACTATTATAAAATGGTAAAAACCTTAATTTTGAGAATATGGTAAATGCTATAAAATATTGTAAATGCTAATAACGAGTAAAATCGTCATTAACTCCGACCTACCAGAGATATGACACACAATACCCATTATCTACGCACGTCTCGATTTGTAATCAACAAAATTTAATAACATCAATTTCCTAATAAACAACTCTCCTGCAAAATTTCAGAACATTTTGACAAACAGCACAGGAGTTATTAAGCTTCAAAAAAGTAAACAAACCCGTCACTACCCTCAAAATTAAGCTTTAATTAAGCTAAAATTAAAATTAAAATTTTTATATTTTTAAATTTGAATTTAAATCAGATAATTTATGAGAAATCGTACATTAATTCGTTCAGTTTTAGTATAGCAACTAGTTGCTGGATATTTTTCTTTTCTGTATCTTTGTTATTTTTAAATGAGTTTAAAATATGCAATGTTATCCAGCTTAAAGCATAAATTTTAGTAAAATCCTCCTATGAATAAGGCTTTTATTCACAAGGTATGAAAAAGAATTGAAAAATTGGAAAGTACGAAATCATTCTGTAATATGTTGCACTGTTAATGGCAAGACAAATTAATGCAGCTAATACCTTAATTCGTTTTATTTGACGATACAAAACAATTAAAACTATACAGAATACCTTAATGGAGTATATGAACGACTATTACATACATTTGTAGCACTTTAGAGTTATCTGAATCGTGTTCAAAAAAGCAAATAACTTGTTTATATTCGTTTTTCGCTTTTCTGAAGATGATTACAATATATTACAATTATTATTATTATCTTAGTAGCAAACTGTGCTGTTGTTTTGTTTTCGAGAGTTCAACTCTCATATTTTTCGTTAGTCGCAGTATTTGTATATGTGGCCAGAAATGTGACTTTTTAAAGCATGCATTGATCTCATCTGCTGGTGTTAAATTGGGAATAACTGGAAGTGTTTGTCGAAAATTTCGAACGTTCTAAACGTTTCTAATAACGGAATTTTCACTTGTTTTTCGGTTCTTCCCTTCGTCACTGATAAGAAACTGACGTTCGAACCCACGACGGATCTTGTTTTATATACCTCCACCAATGGGTAGTCCCACCCATACAAAAAAAGTCTTCGAATGGTCCACAATGTTCCAGAACATTCCACAACATTTCAGAGTGTCTTGGGATGTTACACAATGATCTGGGATGTTCCGAGATGTTCCCGAACGTTCCGGAACATCCGGGAACACTCGAATACTCTCGAATGTTCTGGACGGTTCTCTAGAATTCTAGAATTTCTAGATAGCGAAACTTTGTAGCCCTTATATCTTCAACTGCACGCCCTTCAGATTAAAACGGGAACCTTCTTCATGGATGGGGGATACAGGGATACCACACCATATAACTCCCTTGATCGCACCGGGACTCGTTTTTCAATATTAGCGGCATGCACATTGTACACTTACCTTTATAATATATATTGACTAACATTAACGGATAATCATAGATACATATTTAATTATAAAGTCATTAAGAGAGAAATTATATATAAAAATTAGCATGCGAATTACTTGAACGAGAAACGGATGAATTATGGCTGTAATTTTCGATAATTCAGAAGGTTTTTTAACTACAAATGGAATTCTATCAATAGAAAAACATTGTGAAAAGTCCATATATTGAAGTCTTTCAAAACTTTGTGCAATTGGTATTGCTAAATGAACAGTCTGAATAAGAAAAAAATAATTATAATTAATGTAAAAATTATCTTCAAATCATGCAAATAAAATTTAAAATCTCTCATACATTATTTTTCAGAAGGTTGTTTCTTTCAGCATTATCAGCTGTACTCAGTTCATAACTAAATTGAAATTTCGAATTAAATTATAATTAGTGAAATATATTTAAAATTCATTCATAATTAATATNAGAAGTAAATACATTGAAAAATATAAAAACAAATAAAAATCATACTTTAGGCCGACTGGAATTCTTTCGGATAACTGACTTTCGGATAAACGACGCTCTACTGTATATAAAATTCCTTGTCCTGACTGACTCACTCATTCACTCACTGATTCATCATCGCCCAGAGCAAACCGCTGAACCTAAAGAGGTGAAATTTGGTACACAGTTAGGGTACGTCATAGAAAGGGAGAGGGAGATCATTAAGGCTTAACTGGAAAAAGAGCTTCTACTGTACTATTTTAGATGCGATTGTTTGTTTTCATCTGCGTTTTAGTAGGGCATGCCACGGCAATGCACACTAAGAAGGGATTTTTCGAAATTCCTCCTCGGGGAGAGAGGGAGATGATTTAGTCTTCATCGAGTACTTACGTGCATTAAATTAATAACATTTCAGACATTGTTATAAAAATTTTTTATCTATTTCGATTTTAAAAATGTTCGAACCGTTTTAAATTCGAATTTGTTATTGCATATTGGTTCGATTATAGAACGATTGTAAACGTTCCAGAAAATTGATCAAATTGAAAATACTGTAGTTCGTTTGATTCTCGGCAATTCTCATCATTCTCGGCGGTAGGTGTTATATAACAATTATTATGGTTGTTGAAATACTGAATATAAATGGGGTCTGCTACCAAAATCCTCGCGGGTGAAGTCGCGGGTAACAGCTAGTATTTATTATAAAATATTTCGTAAAAACATCAAATACTTTTTATAAAACATCGCAGAAAATATAGAATACTACGTGCTTAACAATTTTATTCTTGGTTTTATTTAGTAGGAATTTTCGAATTTCTCGAATCAATCTGATATTACTATATTTAAATAAATGACACAAATATAATAAACTATTTCATTTACCTTCATTGCATGAATACGAAGAGTTATATTCTTTAAAAGATTCCTCATTCTTGACAAAGAAATCGGATGTTTAGTTAAATTCTGTAAAACAAACAAACAAAAAATCAGTAATTAAAAGTTTATTAAAATTAATAATTATGTTCGGGTAATTGAAGGTATTTTATTACATTAAAAAAAAATGAAAAAAATCTCCATTAATATAGTTTAATATGCTATAGAAACGAACAATATTATATATGTTATGTTATGTAAAGCCAACGAGCAAAAGAGGAATCTGTTTAGCAACAAGAGTCATTAAATATAAATAATAAAATTCTAATAATATAAATAAATAATCAATTTATTTAATTACAACTGCATAAATGTAAACAAAAATAGAAATATTATCATTGCTTGAGAAGGGACCAGGAGATTTTAGCTCTAAGACCGATGATCCCTGTTGACGTCTCAGATTTTATATACACTACGTTCAACATTTATATTTGAAAATATGAAATTTTTATGAATAGATTGTCGTTACTTACATAGACTCAACCATTTGTTAAAAGATTTACAAACAATATAGCAGAGTGTATAAAATCTCTGAACACTAATACTTGTGGGTTCGTACCTTGCCAACGGCTATCTACGTTGAGTTTTCCTCGTTATCTTCACGTTCGTAATAACTAAATAAGGAGGATTTCTCAGAGAAGCAAAATGTACCCGCGAGAGACACCCATCCCTCGAAAGTTCGCTCGTGTGTCGCGTTGTAATATACAAACAAAATAATACAATAAATCATTCATTTTTGCATCTATTTCTAATTTAATAAATCATTGAAAGAGTTAAGCATGAAACAAACAGAAAAATCTGGCTTGTGTTTTTCAGGGATTCCCGATTAAAAACAAACATTTACTTTATATATCTTAGAATGTTTTAATACAAATGTTACTTCTATATCTTTATTCGTTTATCCTAATTATCCAAATTTGTATAAGTAAAGATTAAAGACTTGTGTCTAAATATAGGCCTACAATATATTTTTCATTAGAGACGTTAAAAATGAAATTTTAGAGAGATATCAAAATTTAAAAGATGTTACACGCATATCTATAAACATTTTAATATATCACAAAATTACAATGCGGTGTTAGATATATGTATTTGAGAAGAATAAAAAAGATTACCCTAGCGCTGGGCTCACAATTGAATTTAAAGCAAGCATCTGCTTAACTGCCTTGGCATCTTTATTATTGATTTAAAGTATTTTAGAATAAGAAATTTCCTATAATATAAACCTTATGATCATTTGTCAAAATGTCTGCCTATCGCATGATGTAATGAGATTATAATTATGTTCAGAGCCTCATAACTAATTGTAAAGACAATGTCGTTGTTCTTTATCTATCTCTTATTAATCCTTATTTGGTAGTGTCTAACGTTAATCAATTAATTACTCTAATTAATATTAAATACAAAAATCTCCAGCAAACTTACATTTGAATAGTTTGAATCAATTGAATTTTCAGATTAAGTAATGATTAGACAGTCTGTGGAACGACAGATCGAGATAAAATGAAACACAAATTTCATTACGAGATTAAATTATTGATTACAAAATTTTTAAATTCTTTTCTATATACAAATATTAATCTACTTATTCCCTATAAACTACATATGAAAATCAATATTTAATTTCGAATGTATCTCGTTTAGAAACTATTATTTACTAAGTAACTTTTAATTATCGATAGAATTGTTTCTCCATTTCATAATGACAGAGTTACGTACTTTCTGCAGCACACGGAATTAAGTAATATAGATATAACGACTATAAATGAAGTAACAGAAATAATATGATTTCGAGTACATGAAACATATTTTAAAAAGTAAATTCTTTTCAGTTGTTGTTAAATTTACATTTTAATTTTACTCCAGGTAACAAAACGAAATTTTTTACCCATTGTACCATACAATTTTTCTATTTTATTATAAAAAATCTTTAAAATCTAAGAACAGTTTTATAAAATAACTTTGTTTTAACAAAATTTAAGGCTCTTGAAAAAAACGTTATTCTTCCATTGCTTCCACGTAATGTTTTCTTTGTAATTGTTTCTTCCTTCTCTCCTTCTACAATAATACCTCGACTTACGCTACCCAGACTTACGCGAACCCGGAGTTACGCGATTTTCAAATCTCGTCGATTTCTCTTTTGTTTGAGCGCTATGCAACTCTTGATTACTCACTCCCCCCACACTATTGTTCAGCTTACATGTTCGGACGTGTCGCTCGGAATCGATCCATAGCTACAATTTATTTTGTGTTATTTATTTCTGTGTTTGTTATATCTACGGAGACTTGAGAGACTCTACTATGTCATTCAAACTAGGTAGAACTGATTCTTCTGCATCAAGCAAGAAAAGAAAAACTTTATCTTTGGAATGTAAAGTTAACATTATTAAAGACTTCGATACAAAAATGAAAATTTGTGAATTGGCAAAGAAGTTTGATCTACCGGAATCGACGGTCAGAACAA